TGTGACGTACAAAGCAGTCCGTGTCCTTGGGGCCGGAGCAGCCGCCAGCGCATTCGCGATGGCAGCAGTCGCTGACGTAAGGCCCGAAGCATCGACCGTCACACTGCTCTGCACACACCGTTTTTGTCACTGCAACGGAAGTGGAAAGACTGAATTTTAAAGGTCTGGCACACACACACACAGACACGCACACACATCTACATACATTCACACTCATAAAGAGAGACAATACCACCACGCTCAACCTTCCTCTCTAGTCACAACTGCTCACAGTCGCATGTAGGAAGGAAGAAATTTGGGGCTTCAGCAACCTAAAGGTCAGCCAAGTTGGTTTGCAACCACAGAGTCACTGCCTAGAAAGCACAGACGTACTTTAAAAACATGAAGCACTGTCTTCTGTCTCAAGAACCTCCTTGGAAACCCTTGAAGAGGACTCTTCTCCTCTAACTGCTCCGAAGCTTCAGCTCAGAGACCGAACAGCTGAAAATAGTGTTTGACAGCGTCCAGCAATGAATCTAAGGGGGAGCTTTGCTTGTGGAAACCCAGTTGGTTTTCCCTAGATACATAAAGTTTGGAAAAAATTAACTGAATCTCACAGATTCGCCATATCAGTGTTTATACAATGGGTGCTTTCAGCCAAGCGAGTCAATTGGCCAAAGACGCCGTCCAACTGTTCTGATTCCCAGAAAGCCTGGCTTTACTCGTTGATATGCCAACTTTTGCAGTAACCAGGGAAATATTTACTGCCATTCCAGTTTCTTCTCTGTATTTTATTTCAACTAGTTTAACGGGAGCTGTGTAAGTATCGTTAGTAATGTGTGGCTTGTCCCCATTTCATCAGCCAACATTTCTGATAAAGGACAGTCTCCCACACTGTATTGATAAAGAAGGAGATAGACCAGCCAGAGAGTCAGCAGGAGCTTGAAGCCCAGGCATTAAAAACTGCTGTGCTCACTCTGTGCTAAGTTGCGAACATAATGATGCAGTAGTGAAAAAAAAAAACAAGCCTCTGTAATCTATTAGTCTGTTAGTTTAAGAAAAACAAGCCAGAGCCTCTGTAAGTCTTTCCATGAGGGGAACATCCTGTAATTATATGAACGACAAACATTTCTCTAGTTAAACTCCTTCCTTTGGTATCTCATTTTTTTCCTTTTATTTGTTATGTGCCAAGTATTGCTACACGGTGATGAACAGTTATTTCCTACCTATAATTAATAATACATTTTCTAGATATTGGCTATAAGCTTGGTGTCCAACTTTAATAAAAAATGAGAAGAAAAAGAAAAAAATAGGATAGTCCTCATGAAGCTTAAAAAGCAAATCTATCCCAAAGCAGATTACTGGAGATTATAGATTATTTTAAAGCAGATTTTACAGTATCATTAATTTTCTCCTGCCAGTCAGTAAAAACAAGGGGTCACTTGGCCTTAAACTAATAAGTGATTTAAAAGAATTTCATTAGCCTACTTCTCAGTGTTTATGTTGAGTTCTGCTATTGCACTTTGCATAAATAGATTTTGAAAAACGTTTTCAGTTGTAAAATGAATTATTGTTTGTGTGGGTTGTACTTTTTTTTCTTTTTAAATGAAATGACTTATGCTAGGCAAATGAGTCGTAGGTTGGTTAGCATAGCTTACTGGCATAACACTAGACTGTCTATATCTGAAGTGAAAAGAATATCCTGGTTGTTCCTAGCTTAGCCCTGCAAAATCAGAGAGAAATAATGTCTTCAAACAACATTTCATAACTGTAAGATTAAGAACATCGATATTAGGCCCCAAGCCTTTGCATTCCAGGGTAAGGTTAGCCTAGCTTAGCCAATAAACTGCTAGATTTCACAGTCTAAATTTTCACTAAAATGAACATAACACATTTAAACTTCACAAACTGACCTTTTCACACTTCCACAAATCTAATGATATACTTTATATGTGTTTGAATGCATTGGATCTAGAACACTATTAGCCTGTCTTAGGGAATAACTAGCTTGGTTTTGTCCAAATTGCCAAAAATACATATAGGCACATCTAAAACACCATTACCATGATGAAACTTGGTTCACTAAAGGGCTCAGTTAACATCTAAAATGTTCAAGTTCATAAGAGTACAACTAGAAAAGACTTGTTTGGAAGCATTTTCAGGAGAAAGCCTCTGCTTTCTAAAAATAAAACAACATAGCAGTAAAGCTAAGTGCAAAGTTGCAAGTGAACAAACTACAAGACTTCTGGAACAATGTCCTTCGCACAGACGATAGCAAAATGGAGATGTTTGGTCATGACACACAAAACCAAATATAGCATATCAGCACAAACACATATCAGCTGATTGATGGTGGGGTAATGATTCAAGCTTATTTTGCAGCCACAGGACCTGGGCACCTTAAAGTCATTGAATCCACCATGCACTACCAAAGTACTCTTGAGTCAAATGTGAGTCCAACAACTTAAATTTACTTCAAACTGGCTCATATAACGGGAGAATGACCCAAAGCAAGGCAGCAAATTTACAACAGAATGGCTGAAAAAGATAAAAACTAAGGTGCAGCAACGGCCCCGTGAACTGAACTGAAGCAACATTGTAGAGAAGAGTGGGTCACAATTCATCCAAAATGATGAGACTGATAAAGTCATACAGAAAAGTATTACTTCAAGTTACTGCAGCTAAAGGTGGTTCTGCGAGCTCCTGAATCATGAGATGTACCCCAGAGGGCCACGTAATGTGAAAACGTTCTTTTTCACATGACTGTCTCTCTCTGTGCATAGCTATTTGACACCACTCTTAACTTCAATACATGTAGCACTGGTCCACAGTGTTACCTTTACAATAAAGGGTGTAGCTTTGGAGTTGTGTTATCAGAGTGGGATTTATAACTTGGCACCATAGACAAATGGAAAATTGAGCTTTCAATATAAGTAATTATTGTGAAAAAGTTTTCCAGCCCAAAGGATGATGTTTGTCTAACCAGCAAGTTCAGGGATTGTTGGCCAAGTTGATCCACCCCTTATTTGCAGGGTAAAAGTCTTCTGATTGACATTAAACTACCCAACACCTAATGTGGACTTTAGTTGGCCTTATCCGCAAAGAAGTAAAGCTACACATGCATGTGATATCAGTAAAGGGCAATAGGAAAGAATCTTTAATTTTATACTGGGAAAGCAATACATTACATCACGTGTGAATCAGCGTTTTGAGGTGGGACTGCGGTAGTGCACTCACAAGTTTGACACTGGTCCTCCTGATGGCCCCAGCAGCGTCCGTTACATGAGCGATGACAGCGTCTGCCTGCAAAAGACACCGTACATCAGAGAACTCTCTGCAAACTTTAGACGTAGTTTTGACACAAACACACATTAAAGACACTGCCCCCACACACATCAAACACCTAATCGTTCGCTCGTGCATGCCCTTAAAACTGCTTGACTAATGACAGTGACAGAACTGTCGAATCTCCTCCGCTCATCCAACAATAGATTTCAAGTCACTGGCGACTCATGGCCTGTGAGAAACATGAGCATGAAAGACAGGCTTCTTCTCCCTTCCGTCAAGAGCTAGCAGGCAAAGTGGGACCTGACAGAGCATTCACAGCCTTCATCTGCCCGTGGCCCATCATCAAGACTTAATTGACTATGGGTTAATTACAGAGTAAGTGGAATAGTGAGGCAGATTGTCACCCGGCCCCTTCAACCACTCCCACTGTGGGGTTGTTAATGTTAAATACTAACTACAACTTGGCAAAGGGCCTCAATTTGGCAACCTCCACTCCCACAAACTCTCTTGTCATTTTTGGCCCACCTCCTCTGTTCTTTGTTTCTTTTCATCCCCTTCCTCCTACATCAGTGGCATCTCATCAACAAAATAGCAACGTTTCACGCACATTGTACTTGTACAGTGTCTTCCCCAACCTTTATTGTCTAGAAACAGCTTTGCATGATGTCCTGATCCCTGCTCATGCTAGTCAGATTGTATTCTGTTCATTCTGCAAAGTGTAAAAAAAAGGTCATAACGCCTTTTCATTTGCCCCATTGTCTATGTCTTTGCTACCACTCGGTGCCACAGCTGTCCCCATTGTTCACCCTGACACGTTTTGATACAGAGACCCTGAAGAAACTGCTTTCCATCCCTCAAAATGAGCAAAAGGCTTGCCCATAAATGTGCAGAAAAGTTTGAAAGAGTTGTCTTTAGCAGCCAGTTCCTCTGACAGAATGTCCGCCGGATACTGACGCCTGTTATGGCCAAAGCAGAGGGAGCTGAGGGACAGCCGGGACCACAAAGGGGGTGAGGCGGTTGGGTAACAAGGGAAGTGGGCAGCTTCAAACCAGCTGTCAGATTCACTGAGATTTAAAAAGACCACAGCAGACAGCAGCTCCATGGGCCTTGCTGCAAAGTCGTTAACATACCACTACAATAGAAAGGTTCACGCGTTGATCTAACACTATGTGATTTTGCTTCCAAATGACCGCCAGGCAAACAGAATGAGGATAGGGCGTGATTGCTGCTGGATGTGTGTGTGTGTTTCTACAGTATGTTGGAATGTGCCACTTTAACATTTCACTGATGATACTTTAAAGGGCACCTATTACATTCATATCTTGCTCCACATTTTTATTCTTGGACTCTAGTAGAGAAGCTTTGCATGATTCATAATTAAAATGAACCTTAGGTATCTTATACTGGGCCTTAGTGCAACTGCCTGTTAGTTCATTTACTGCTTGAAACAGTCCTATTTGATTCCTTTAACTTTTCCTTAAGCCAGCTTTCTTATAATTGGCTGCCCCACGCAAACAGAAGGTTTGAACAGCTGTGGATGTGGTTTCAGTGCCAGAGATTAAGTATTTCTGTCATATTAAACCTGTATATGACGTATATACAGTTGTGATCAGAAGGTTACATCCACTCATCATGGGCATGAATGTCATGGTAATTTTGTTTTATTTCCAGGGTGGAATGACACATATTTAATGACTTTATGATTTTGGAATCTGCAGTTGTTTAGAAATGGCGGGTAGAGACCTTCCAAAGCTGTGTAAATCTCCTATTATTCTTCTTAGAGCTTCACTGAATTCATTGGACTTTCCCATTGCTTTGAATAGTGTTTAACCCCATTAGTGCTGTCAAACAAACCTTTTTTATGCTGGCAAAGAGAAACTACCAGTTGTAGTCTATCATGATCACTAATGAGAAGTTTACAGGGCTTGGTATTGTTGAGTTAAAAGACATTATTGAACTTTCAACACCAAACTTTTAAAAGATTTAAGTGAATATATGTATATATTTGAGTCTCTATGTATACTTTTGGCTATGTGGATTAATAGCTTCTTGCCAGTTTGTTCCGGAACCTCCATCCTTCATTCATCCATCTTCTTCTACTTGTCCACTTCAGGTCTACCGGGGTGCTTTTAGCCTATAAAATCCCATTTACCTCTTCTTTAAAACAAGAACTTAAGTGTTCATTGTTTGGGGGCATCATCAGTGACTTAGAGGTCAGAAGGTTAATCTAATCAAAAACTACTGGTTCTACCGGTTTGCACCCTCACTCTGTACTCACATCCATTGTTGCTGTTGTTGGACGGCACCACCAACAGCTCAGCTTGGGGGTTCTTGATAATGTCACGCCAATGGATGGTGTCTGCGTGACACAGGAATTTGTTCTGGTCAACATAAACGCCCCCATTCAGTATCTCTGCACAAGGAGAAACAGAAAGGAGAGAGAAAGAGACAAATGAGCACATAGCCGTGGATATAGAGTACATGTGCACAATGGCAGAAAATCAATACTTCAAGGTTAACTCTTCTCTTTGTCTCAAAGTACCACGCTGCATATGCTGTTCCCTGAAGCGCATCTGAGCATGACGATAAATGCTATTGACAAATGCACACAGATATTCTATGCCAAGTCCAAAGATATTTGTATAGAAAGTACCTCATAAAAATAAGCAAATGGATTTTAAAGAAACTCCTACTATACGCCAGTCTGATTTCCTAATTATGCGCTGAGTATTATTAAGTAATTTCATTTATCTTCAGAGTTAATGAGTTTGAATGTCACAGGCAGACATGATACTTGTTGTGTTAATTAAAACTGGAGCAGAGAAAGCGCATAGCTTCGGAGTTTAGATGCACTTAAATCTTGAAACTTTTTTCTTTTTATTGTTGAATTATTAACTTCAAGACTCCTAAGCGGCCCAAACAATCAAACTGTCTCATAGAAAATAACTGGAACTGGAGCTTTTCGTGACCTACTCCACAGTGAGAGCCAACACACCAAAGACAAAGGCAGGCACTTCAACCAGCATTTGCTTAATAGCAAAAATATGTTTCCTTTCAAGGACCAGTGCCCTTAACAGATGCCTGGGCATGGATAGTGATAATACATTCTAATCCCTCTCCCTGTTACTAATCCAGGTTTTGGATATAGAGATTGAATGAAATGATGCTGCAGTAATCCCCCCCTCCTGAGTTGTGACCCAAAGCAGAAGGGAAAAAAACAGCCCCCATCTGTGTTTCTTTCTCTCTGGGATACCAACAGACTATATAATTTAACCTATTTGGGGGATTTAGATACAATCATCTTGCATCTCCGTCTCCTTGAATATGATTCCATGAAAGTACTTGTCAAAATAAATGAAATTTAATAATGAAAAAAGAAGCAACAATGTGCTTCAGATTAGGGCTGGATTAGCTGAAGGTAAAGAAGGGCATTGTCTCTCCAGGCAGATTATTAACGGCGTGCGCTTATGATTCGACTGCTGAGAAGCACACACACACACACACACAGGAAGCTAATCATTACCATCCGACACCCTGATTAAAGAAGTGGGCCTTGGTGGAGACGGGGACATTTATTCAAAGCTCTCTTAGAGGTGACATGGCGCTCTGTCTGCCTGCTGAATGGCCTACAGCCGCAGCTTCATGTAATCATGTTCCCGTCACAATGGACGATTTATCTGGGCGTGTTTTACATTCATGGATGGCGGCTGGAGAAAAAAAAAAAAGGAAGAAGAAGCTTGTACAAATAGCACATGGACTGCACCATCAGCATGCTTTGATAGCATTCAAAAATAGCTGTGAAATGAACGGCCATCCGTTACCGAACCCCGATTAATTATTTTTCAGACGGCAGATGTGTCCATATGTGCATTTCGTGTTTTCCCTTAAGTCTCCTTCATGTGATAGAGGGCTTTGTTGTTGAGCCGCTTCACGCCTCTAAAGATCCTTGAACAAACAATCCATTAGTTCAGACATACTGTGCACATAGACAAGGTCATCAGGGAGCACGTAACAGGTCAAGATTATAGGTTTTACACACACACAGGCTCATCGGACATTTGCTTGTGTCAGGCATCTTTCCACCACGACTGGGTGAGGGCCCTACTTTGCTTGAAAATGACCTCTTTTTACAACTGGCTAGAAGTGAGCATCCCTCGCTGGATTGTTATGTGTCTTGCCTATGAGATAAAAACACTGTAAAGCCTTGAAGTTTCTGAAGGATGTTTTAGTTTATGTCAAACTACAGACTCAGCAGATGTTGCCTCTCATATTTTGCAGCTGCAAGTGAGGATTTATAATGGTGTGCTATGCTAGGGTAACACCTTGAAAAGCTTTTGAAGGCTTTTTTGTCCAGTAACTGAAAAAAGACATAGTATTGGTTCGGCATTGTAAATAAAGGCCGGCACACTAAAAAGCAGGTTTTGTGCAGTGTGTTTGACAGGCACATAAAGCACTCTTAATGCTGTGTAAATGTTGTGAAGCACAAACAAGCAAGGTTCAGCTAATTTTCCTTTAATTACATTTATTTATAATCTGTTTTCAAGCATGGGGCCATCGTTCAATTGCAAGAAATTGGAAAAGAAAGACTTGACAGAATATATGAATCTCTGGAAACATGCTGCACATTAAGCAATCTCATCTGATCTATAGATGTACCTTCCTACTCAACCCACATCAGACAATGGTTCACTTAATACCCTTTCCACACAATGGTAAATGGCCTGTATTTGTATAGTGCTTTTACTAGTCCCCCTAGGGACCCCAAAGCGCTTTACACACCCAGTCATCCACCCATTCACACACTGGTGGAGGCAAGCTACAGTTGTAGCCACAGCTGCCCTGTGGGGCGAGGCTGCCATATCTGCCATATATTGGCCCTTCTGGCCAACACCAGTATGCGGTAGGTGAAGTGTCTTGCCCAAGGACACAACGACCGAGACCATTCGAGCCGGGGCTCGAACCGGCAACCTTCCGATTACAAGGCAAACTCCCAACTCTTGAGCCACGATTGCCCCCCAATCAGTTCAGGAAACCCATATACACTGCATTGAAAACATTACTTTACACAACAGTGATTGTCCATCTGCAAGCTGCTTTGTAACCCACCTCCTCCCCAGGCCCTCCTCTTTTTATATACTATTTCTGACTCAACCATGAACCCTAGTCATGCATCTTCCCTTGGTTTTGTGGTATGCACCTTCAAACTCATTTTGTAAAACACTGCAGAAAAATTCTGTTCACTTTGATCATTTTGATCTTAGATATAGAAATATTTTATTTGATACAGGAAAACTGGTCCGGTCAGTGGTGGTCGTGAAATGAACTGGACATATTAAGCAAATGCAATGATAAATCATGGAATAGTTGTTCAGACAAGTCTTGACTAAGATTGTGGACCAAATCCTGGTTCATTTTGCTTTTTATTATCATTAGGGAAATGTGGTTAATAACACATGACCTACATGAAGCATGTCTTTCAGTTTCCCACCACCTGAGCACCTTTAATGACATCGGCTCACTCTTATTCTGCAGAATTACTGTGGTAGGTGGTACAGTCTATCCAATACCAATCGGAAAGTCATCAGATCGATCCCTGGCTAACCCAGTTCATGTGTCAAAGTTCAAGGTGAACCCTTGGTTGCCCCCAATACATCCACTGGAGTGAGTGTGCATATGAATGCTAGAGAGTGTGTAATTCTGAGTGTTCAAATGGACTAGCAAGGTGCCATTGCATCAATGCATTTACCAAACAGTAGTTTGATCATTCTTGGGCTACAGACTCAAAACTCACATTGATATCAGTGACAAAGGTCTGAAAGGTGGACTTAATTAACACTGTTTGCCTTGCAGTCTTTTTTTTTTTTTTTTTGTGTCCCGTTTGGATCTATAGCCATCAGAATTGTTGTCTCAAGGCCAAGAAAGATGCCAAGCGGATTTATTTTACCAAGTGGATCATCATGGCCTTGCCATATTGGTCCATTTGATTGACCTTTATTATAATTATGAATTTATTTTATTTTCAGTTGCTACAAACGGGACAGACATGACTGGGGGATAGGACAGGGAGAAAGAATGAAAGAAAGAGAGGGAGAGAAAGAAAACCAAAGGGGAGAAGAGACGATGAGAAGGGGGGGAAGAAAGAAAAAAAAAACAAACAGTCTTGCAGTCTTGATGACACATTATACTTATGACAATTTGTGGGAGTCCAATCAAAAGGGTCAGTGGTCAAAGTTGGATGTAACCATCATTCTACAGTTAAAAAAAAAAGTGAGAAACTTCCAGTCATGACATGCATAACCAATCCAAGCAATTACAACGTATGAATCTGTAAATTGTGCAATAAAATGTCTTATTCTTTAAGAGATACGTTGGTTAGTAGCAGATTTCACCCATTGTAATGATAAAGAAAATGTCTGAATGAGTGGGATATTACTATAGGAGACTATGAAAGACACTTTCTTACATGAATTGAGCTCCAGCTAACCAAAGCAGGAAGGATTTGAGATGAAGTAATATTCATATCAATCACAAAGCTCCACATCACTTCTTTAATTTCAGCTCCATAGAAAAATACACTATGATCTACTATGCAGTCTCTAAAATGGGTACAAAAAAGAAAAAATCTCCTGTCTCCCTTTTGATCGTCTATATGTTCAACCAGAAGACTTCAGCTCCTCTGGGTGACACTTCCTAGTCATGCCGTTTTATGCATGTATACGGCCGCTGAGGCCTCTAATGCCATATGGTCAGGTCATGTTTGGTTCAAGACGGCTTCTGGTGCAGCATTTTGCTACAGCTCTCTTGGCAGTAAAATAAAGTGCCTCACTGTGATGGAGAAAAAAAGAATCACATAGCAAAAGTCGAAGTGTCATGCTGAGATTTGATATAGAACTGTGCTGGGGAATAAGAGGAGATCACTGGAGAAATTCCATCAAATGCAAAACTGAAAAATGGAATAAATGGCTTAATTTAATGACACCACCTTTATTGAATTCATTTACTTTCTTTCTTCTCCATCACTCAGTCCCATAAACCCCACATTTCTGACTCCCTCTAATGCTCCATCATAAAGGATGGTGCTTCATATTTAGCGCAGTCAAGCTCTAAAAAAGTGTTGCTGAACAATATAACAGTGCGGGCATTCAAGGAAAAAAATGAGGGTTTGTTTCAAAGTGATAAACAGTGACTTAAATATCCACACTGTAAGCCTTATTTAAACCACCTGCTTGGGTTAAGGGTTATGGTCAGAAGAGACTTTAGGGGGGGTTAAGAAAAATGAAGAAAATGAAGAATGGCTCCAAAACTCAGTCTTGCAGACTTGTCAAAATGCCTAATTTTACTTTAGGGGTTAAGGTTATGCATTATTTACAGCTTGACTGCTTTGAGCGACAGGGATCCATTGGTTTGATTAAA